GCCCCTCCGCGGCGGCAGCACCCGCCTCAGCACCGCGCAAACGTTTCCCAGCACCGGGCACTTTGCTCAGGTCAAGCCCCTGACCGGGAGCAGCCAGAATCTGGTGCCAGCCCCCCAGAAACCCCTCTCCCCCCACCGCAGGGCACGTCTTTCCCGCCCCCCAAACCTCGCTCAGGGGGGCGAACACCTCTGGCCCCGCTGTCTCCATCCCTGGGGGGCCCCAGGGCCGCCCCCGAGGGAAAGCCCCAGGCCTGGGTTCAGCACGCCGGCGGGCGCAAGCAGGAGCAGGGGGACGGGGCATAAATACCAGGGTGACTTTATTGGTGGCAGGGGGGGCAGCTGGCCCCCTCCCCACGCCAGGAGCAGCGCCCACCCCAGGGGTGTGTGCCACGGTTGGGGGGGGCCGGCATATTCAATAATCAATAATCAGCCATGCACATACTCTCTTTATACTGTTGACCAAACACAAACCACGGGGACAACACTAATACTATAGAGATGATCGCCTCTTGTTCCCCTTCTGCTACGCTCCACTACTTGGTTATTATTTGGCTCACAGTTTACTCACGTGCTACGATTGCTTGGAGGAAGGAAACATTCTGAATAACTTCACACAATTTATATGATGCAGAGTAACGTGGGATCCTAGCATCATACCTTAAAGAAGGGTCTCAGAGCGGAGCCAACTTGATTCTGAACATCCCATGACGGCTCCGAGCTGTAGCTCCAGACTGCACACGCAGTGTTAGAGAACTGTACCCCGTGCTTAGTGCCGTGCTGCTGGCACAGGGAGTCCCTCTTTCATCAATACATTCGCATATTTGGACTCAGAAGCAAAGCACAACTCTGGTCACGCAATGCTCATCAGAACACAGTACAAGCAGCTTTCCTTTCACAGGTGCCTAGCGGTACAAGACAGATCTCTGCAGCTCTGCTCCCAGAATTTCAGGTTATTTTTCCCCTTTGTTGTTTAATATCAGAGTTCTGCTAACCAGCAGGAAGTTAAACAGTAAGGGATTGATGCTCCCTGATACAAGAACATTTCTAACAAGTCATAAAAGCATGCAGTACAGATCCAGAAATCAACTGGAGCATCCGGGAAAACACATTCCCATAGTTCAGGAGAGTCAGTTGGAGACATCAGGAGTTTTACCCCAGGGCGCTTAAGCGGCTGAAAGCCTTTAAGCAGGGGTTGCAGGTCACAGCTCTGTTGTGAAACATAATGTTGCTGTCTCCCATTCTACCCAGAAATCATGCAACTCATTCTGCAGGAGAATGGGCCTGAAATTTTGGAATCACATTCTTACCCCAGGCCACTTCTTGGTTTTGCTTTCACTAACACAGATACACAAGTGTACTACAATAAACCCCTCCAATTTCTTCTCACAAACAGAGGAAAAGAAATTCCAGCATGAGAGTGCTGATGTGCAGCTACTGCGTTCTGGAAGGCGTTCGCAGCACAGTGAGGATAACCATATAAGAACCTGGAAACAGAAATTGTTTATTTCAGAATAAGAAGAATATTTCTCCATATTCTAGGGGAAAAATCCTTCAATTTTTAGAACATACCCTCCAAGAGGGGACAGACTGGTTTCTTTCTGAGGTGGAGCCAATGGTCAGCTCCTAACACAACCCGAGTTGGCCTAACTTGTCCACACAAAGACAGAAAGGCCAGTGCAAAACTGGGATGCAGGGGAGCATTTGCTAAAACGGATTTTCAGTTTTCACTACAAGGAAGAGCCCTGTAGGTAAAACTGATGAGCATTTCCCACACTACTCAGCACAGGGGCAGAGAAAAGTGTTGCCAAAAGCCAGGGGTTCAACAGGTGATCAGTGGCTTCTCCTCATTCTGGAAAATGGGAACAGAAAATGGGAAGAAATTTATACTAAGATAGAGAACTTTTTAAAGTAAATGTTAAAGCCGGAAGTGAGAGAAGGAAGGAAACTGGAGACACAGGGACTGGCAAATGCAGTTCTTTAGGACGATAATCTCTGATGAGTCTTGGTGCTACACTGGCCATGCACGGATAGCATCACAGAATCGTTTGGGTCCCCCATGGGCACCTCACAAGCATCCCATGGGCATGGGCACCCCATGAGCATTCCACAAGCACCCCATGGGCATGAGCACCCCATGGGCACAGGCACCCCATGGGCACTCCATGAGCATCTCACAAGCACCCCACAGGCACTCCCTGGGCATAGGCACCCCACTGGGCACCCCATGAGCACCCCACGAGCACGGGCACCCCACAGGCACCCCATGAGCACCCCATGGGCACCCCACAAGCACCCCATAGGCACAGGCACCCCATGGGCACCTCACAAGCATCCCATGGGCATGGGCACCCCATGAGCATTCCACAAGCACCCCATGGGCATGAGCACCCCATGGGCACAGGCACCCCATGGGCACTCCATGAGCATCTCACAAGCACCCCACAGGCACTCCCTGGGCATAGGCACCCCACTGGGCACCCCATGAGCACCCCACGAGCACGGGCACCCCACAGGCACCCCATGAGCACCCCATGGGCACCCCACAAGCACCCCATAGGCACAGGCACCCCATG